GATACTCGCTCTTGAGCTCGGCATCAGCGATGCCTGTGGACGGGAAATATCTCCAGCCCCAGTTCAGCACCTACTTGCGCTCATATCCCCCCGTAGTGACTCGTATGACAAGTTCCCTGGACGGCGCGGCCTTCTGTATTCAGGATTTCCGGATTATCATTGAATATAGCAGGGTGGGTACTGCAAAATCGTTATTTATTCAAACCTGTTCAGCTTCTTCGGCTTTCCGGATGCTGCATTCAGCTTGTCCGACTCTAGAGCTGGATGAAAATTGCTCTCATCCAAATCGTGAGTCGGCGTCAACTTTCTTCCCCCTCCACAATCCTTCACGTAATATGCCATCGAGCAGAGGCAAGGTTTCGATCCCGAGAATCCATTGATGGGGCGGAACGTCGCGCGGCATCTTCAAGGAGTGGTCACGCTAGAAGTCGAGCTCTGAAGCTTGCTAGCTGCGCAGGTTTGCTGCTTGAGTTGAACGCCGACGAGGAGGTAGCTCGTCATCAGGTTGAAGACCTGAAAGATTTTCGAAGATTTGGAAGGATAAAAATTAGAGAGAGGAGAAGTTTGATCCGCGGAGAATTTTTCTCGGGAGGAGCTGAACCCACGATCAGTAATGATCCTTTTGTGATGGTGGCGAAGCCGAAGAACGTGTAGCCGATCTGAGTTCCTTGGAAGCGCGTCATGAAATTTATCACGACTGCATTGAAATCGCATGTCTGAGAGGAGAATCGCTGCAGAAGATGTTGCGGTCCGTGTGCCTGGAGAGAGGCACGGACTTATGATAAGATCAACGGTCGACTCGAATCGACAGGACTCGAATCGTGGCATCCACGATACTCACCGAAGTGTTGGCGGTGTTCGCCACCATGCAGACCATGCTGATGGACGCGACTAGAGCGACACACCACAGGAGGATTCCGAACAACTGCGGTGACCTCGAGATTCCCTCCTGGGTGAGAACCGTGACTTGGGTTCCAAGGATCGCGAACAGCGGGACACAAACCATCAGGTTCATGCCGATGATCACGCTGACAATGCTGTCCACTACTTGCAGGAGATCACAGCATTTATCGTGACCCATGACAGCTACCTGAAGGGAAACGGGGGGAAAAAGTATTCAGATCACTAGGGAGGAATTTCGCTCAAACTCTAGATCCACTGGAAACAACCAGAGTTCTTTGACTACGATTTATCTCACTCAATCTTGCGGTCATTCACCTGAAAAAGCACCTGATCTTCACACTTGAGGGCGATTCTGAATTTATCGAGCGCTGTGTCGAAAGAGATCTTCAGTGGACCGTAGGTCAGCAGGACGACCCAGAGGATAGAAGACATCCAGGCGGTCGAGTAGAGGATGAACTCGAACAGGACCACAGAGAATGTCGGTCTTGTGAATATCGTGTACACCGACGCATCCGCAGGTACTAAGATATTCACTTGTAGTATGATCTGGGCCACGAGCATTACGAGAATCAGCATCCGGAAACCTATGCTGAACCGTCGCGGGACCATCTGACCGTACGGCAGAAGAGAGGAATCTGCATGCGGAACCAGTTTAGGCGAATTAAGGATGAATCTCTCGCAAATTTTCCCGATTGCCTCCTCACGGTACCGCGAGGAGCCGGGGCCCCGCTAGCCCCCTGTCGGGTTTTCACATTTTGCTCTTCGCCCCGCCCCGGCGCCAAAGCAAGTGCGAGCCGCAGGTGCTGGAGATCGAGCATCCAGGGTCTGAGGAATTTTCAATGCCTTCCGCCCGGACGGATTGGGGGTTCCGAGAGCGGGAACCCCAAGGAAATTCGATGGATATGGGAATGTCCACGGGAATCCGAGGGAAATACCACTCTCACTCAGACCGGCAACGCACCAGTGGGCTCCCGCGTCGAGAAAAACCCTGATGGGTACTGACCTCGGAGAACGATGACGGCTCGATGTAGTTGACGATACCATCGGGAAGAGCAGAATTCGAAAACGGTCACTATCCGAAGCAAAGTACACGAAACGCTCATCATGATGTAGATAATTTTATCATGGGTTTGGATTTGTCGCAGGTAGCGGTTGTGAATTGGGCAGAGCGTCGGCCACACCATGGCCACCAATCCCGTGAAGCTGAACAGCAGTGACATGATGCATAAGCTGATGGCGTATATCTTGAAAGACAAGCTCGGACACCCGTGTTCCAGGAGCTCATTCACGCAGTAGATACCAGACAGTCTCGCGAAGAAGTAGTGCACCCGACAGATTCTACGGTCCTCATCGAGTACGAGTTTTTCCTCCTTGAGAGGCTTCATGCTCTGCCACTCCTTACAGTGTTCGATGACCACAGTACGCATCTCGAACGTCGTTTCTACGAAGTCTGATGCAAGGATTCCAATCATACCCTCAAGGTGCACCTGTCCCACCAGTCGCAAGAGATTGCTTTCATAACGGAAATGGCCTGCGTTCGGACCGCGCACGGCAGAATTATACCGGAGGCGCGGTAAATGACGGGAATCGATCTATGAACTTCGCATGGTAGGGAGATACAGGGGAATCGATGATTTTCATTATCGAAGCTGGGTCGCACCTCACACGTGGCTGAAATCTGACTGGGGACTTCATAAACAAGAGATTCCCCGCTGATGAAGTCTCAAATCTTGCAGCCGTAGACTACGCGTGGAAAAATTCCCGATGCAATCGCTTCAGGACCACAGGGATCTGATACCGTCGAAATCTATGCCGAAATTCGGGCCCGCACTGAACTCGTTTCATGAATGATGGTTTATTGTGGTCTAGATAAAGGTGTTTCTTATTTGTTCGTTTATACACCAGCCCAATCAGCCTTTCATATAAGATGTGAGATTTCGGCAGATCGTTGTTTGTCCCAATCCTCCCAGATTCTTTTTGTCCTTCTCACTCCCACTTGCATTGTCTGCTTCTTCGTCAAGTCCGAGACGGCACAGAAGTTCTTCCTCCGTGTAATAGACGTCGTTGCATTCGAAGATGACGTGCCCCATCTTCTCCTCGTGAATCTCACACCTTGGTTCCGGGGTACATCTTGTGAGTACCAGTTGATAACATGTTGGCCCTGGCCAGAGCTGTGAGGGCGCTTCCGTTGCTATCATTGTAGGTGGAGCCAGCTACACCTCAGCTTATCCTTCACTAGGCGCAATTGCTGAGCCTCGTACTGAGGGGTATGCTGACTCTTCAGATCACTATGCTGTTCTTTCGCATCTCGGGTGCCTCGCAATTTTCGAAAGCTCCATCGAAGATATTCAAGAACGGGTGTCCACCTCTTTCGGATCAGAGACTGATGTGTGAAGACTTGTATTTTGCTCGGAGTCGTTCAATTTCCTGGTACGCTTCGATTTTCATCCGAGTGAGCTCCCTCCTTCTCAAGATCGCTCCCGGTTACCCATTCTCTGACATTTATCCGACTCTCTCGAGGTATCTGAGTTTTCTTCGGGCATCCCTCGCTTCGGAGGAAACAAGGGAATAACACTCCAAAGGCGCCCACGCGTCTGAATTCCTTCCCTCAAATTATTTAGCAATTCTAGCCCAAATAATTCCTCAAAGCGCAGTCATCCATAGAAGTGTAAGTGTACTCTCTAATGCCGAAGACACAAAAGGGGTCGGAGGGGAAGCGGAGAAGGGGGGAAAATTGAATCAATTCAACGCGAGAGTACCCCTAAATATTGGTGTTTCCAAGCTTGCGGGAAGGAGGACCTAAGATAAGCGGCACAAAAGAGTTACATCGGCTTTCCCCGAGCAGGATAGTGCGATCCGACTGATGAAGGAAACTTGGGTGATGAATGGAAACCCTCAAAAATTAAAGAACAGATATGTGGGCTCAGATAAAAAGAGAGCCACAGGGAACATGCCAAGGCGGGAGTTGGAATACCACGATGAGATCTTAAACATAATCAGCGTAATGTAGCACACGGGAGTGTCAATGGGGATATAGAACTGTTCAAAAAAAACGGCGAGCTTATCCGGAAGAGAAAAGCTGAAAAATCAAATATCATCATGGTTGGAGACATCATCGTCATAGGAGAAGATATGAACGCGCATTTGAGTCGATTCTCGGAGAGGCGAAACTCCAGAGGAGAGAGGAGACCCACCGATGAACTCCGGTAAGCAGAACTTGGTAATACTTGAAAGCGCGGTAAGAGGTCGCGGAGCAGAATGCTTAGAAATGCCAAAAGAAAAGCTCCTGAGCAGGCTGAGGAGATCCTTGCAGGCTTCCGGGAAGCGAAATCTATATTGATGTTGCGAAGGAGTAGTATTATTGAGAGACGACGAGGACAACATTGCTCCTTGTGAGAGGGCCGAAGATCACCTCCCTGGAATGATCAAGAAGATGCTCGGGGCTGAATTCAGCGAGAATGGAGATGAGATTGTCTCACCAGTGGAATATCCCATTTCGGGCTCTGATATTTGCGAGGACGACCCCCGAACGGCTCTGGGGAAGATGATCTCCTTCTCATTGATTATTACCTTGAACACGTTTTATGCCCTCGCTTGAAAACACACGGTGAGTACTGTTATGCCTGAGTAAGCAAGGACGGTTTCCAGGCCTAATCGTTTCCGACGCAATCGATTCTGCAGGTCGTCCCAGCCCGGTCACGGTCGCATCCGAGGAATCCGGGGAGGTACAGACCACTGTTTGAAATTTATTCTTGCTGATGATCGAAACCGCGCAGTTTCTTTATGCGAAAAGGTACTTTCCCAACGTTCACCGGGATTATAGACTCCAAGAATCCCGCCCGTGGTGCTCTATACTGACTTGTGATGTCATGCCATGTTCCCCGATTGTCATGAAGGTGACGAATAGGCACCCTGAACTTGAATTTACCGACGGCTTGCAGCCCTACGAGATGCACCGCGCTTGCCGCCATCCGACCCCCGACTAGATGCATCGTACAAGCCGGCTCCTTCGGCCGCCGTGTGCCGTCAGCGAACAAGAAGACGAGCGAGCGAGCGACGGGGACGACCATCCACGGTTTGTTATTGTGTGTGAGTGTGTGTGTGTGTCGCTGCAGCCAGCGAGTCCGTAACCGGCTGGGACCTTCGTCGCGTACTTGGCGTCACAGGTTGACGTCGCCGTAAGTTCGGCATGTACAGGTCAGCGGTACTAGCCGCGGCTCTATTAGCGCTCTTTGTGGAGAGCGACGCAGAGACTCATCTATCGTCGGAGAGTCTCGGAGTCAGCTACGAGTTCAAGTTACACGTAGACGCCGGCAAGGAGGAGTGTTTCTATCAATATGTTGAGCAAAACGCCTCGGTCTACGTTTCCTTCCAAGTGAGTGGTATTTCCCCGTAGCTTGGGTTGGGGAATTTTCCTTTCCTCCCCACCAATAGACTCCGAAGCGATCTCATGTGACTTCCCCGCGGAAAACCTGTTGCGCTCCATGGTGCACTGCTCGAGCAGGTGACAGCTGCTGCTTTGCATCTTGAGCTCCCGGAAGATTTCAAACTGACACGATTTGCCGAGAACATCCATAATTGTTTTACAATCAATCCCAGCATCAATGTCTTGACATACCCCGCGTGGATTCGCCCAGCAGGAGAATGTTCTCCTCAGGGAAAATGGGTCAAAACGCGGCAGAGCCGAGAACCGGGGCTCATCGGCCTACCGTGGTTGCGGTTCCCGCTATGTTTCTTTCCGTCGGCGAGTCTTGACTGAGCTCACGTCGACCTGATCATTTCTCGCTCTCTCGGGAATTCGCGATCTCAAATATTCATCATTCACCACCGTTCCTCGTTCATGTTTAATTTTGGAGCTCCAACAGATCAGAGAATTCTTGTCGCGGTGGCGAATTCGAGAACGAAATTTTCGTCCGGAGAAAATATCGGTGCCCAGTTTTTGACGCTGAGTTGGTCTCTTCGACGATCTCGGAGGCTTACGGAGCGACGGCGACCCGAATCGGTTGGATGCTATATACTTCTCGTGTTTCAGGCGCGCTCTGAGTTCTCTGACCACCCAACGCTCATACCTAGTACTGTCCGTGAGGACTAGCCTCTGTTCCCAGAAGCCACGTGATTCGACGTTTTAGCGCAATTATCAGAGATCGACGACGATGACCGAGATGGGCTTCCTATTTACATAGTTTTATTCGGAAGAGCTCCGGCTGAAGCATTCGGGCCGACAATTGAATATCTCTTCCGCAGGTTATACGGGGCGGAGATGGCCACGCTGCCTTTTCTGTCACGGGTCCGTCCGGTCATGTTCTACTGCCCTACGAGTGGAAAACGTCTGCGGATTTCGAGGAGCAAGAAGCGCCGATCACGGGCCACTACACACTATGCATAGACAACAGTCTTTCACATTTCGCCGAGAAGCTCGTCTCGATCTATTTCAACTCCTTCATAAAGGAAAACTGGAATCAATACATCGCCGAAATCGAGCAACACGGTCTCGCCGTCAGCAATTTCACGGTGGGTGACCATTTGATTTCTTTCCGGTCGGAAAACCGAGCTTCCTCTGCATGAGCCCATTCTGTTGAGCCTACAGCGGTATGACTCCCCGTTTTTTTTTGCAGACGACCATCGAAAAACTCGAATCGAATTTGAACGACATCTCCAAATACCAAGAACACACGAAGAACACTCTAGTGGTCGATTGGTACCTCCTGAAAGGGAACAATTCATGGGTTCTGTATTGGTCGTTATTGCAATGCAGTGTTATAATTTTAGTTACGGCCGCACAAGTTTACTTCATCCGGAACTTCTTCAGCGATCCGAAAAGCGGTGGAAAAACGAGGATCTGAGGATATTAACCATGGTATCCGATAAACATGCGATACAGGCGTTGCTCATCCTGGCGAGGAAAAGTGACGTCATGTCGGCAGGATGAAATGCCGCGTTGGCACTCATCGCGGCAATCCCATCTTCGACGATGGATCGAAGTCGGTGATTTTAGAGACTGAACGGCTTCGAGGTGAAGGGGTGCGAGACGCGCAGGTTGTGCGAAAGACTGCGACTTGAATGAGTTCCCGAGGCGAACTCCTAGAGGTTTAGTCCTGGGGAAGCGCGTGTTTAAGGAAGAAGAGGTCGAAGAAGGAATATATAATCGGAGGAGCCACGAAAGTGCCTTCCTTTCTAATTGAAGAAACCTGCTCCCGTGAGGATGTTCTACTGATTTAGTTGATGATCTATTGGATTCGTAGAGATTTTTCAATCGCCATGCCAAAAGCACATAATTGGGAGGCTGAAAAAGTTTTCCCATGCACTGCGATTATGTCAATCATACCTGGAATGGACTTATCGATGGACAAGTTGCGCTCTCCAGGGCTCTCAACGCGTTCCTTTTTTGTTTCAACCTCGATGATGATGAGCATCAATACACAAATGACGAACTGGGTGATTCCGCCGCTTATGTTTGCTCAATCAAAGTTTGCCGCGGAGCCGAGGTTGATCATACTTCTTGCTATCAGCCAGTTTATTCCCCCCAAACAGAATTGCGTTGCTGAGTCGAAGTAGGTAGTGTAATTTCTTTGCTAATCGCCCCTGGTGGCGACAAAGATTCTCATCAGAGTTTTCTGTGATGAGCGGGGCGACCAGATGGACGTGATGTGTTCGCCTCGAACCCGTGGTGACTGGCATGAATGTATGTATGAGTGTAAGTCAGAGATTGCGATGAATAAATTGAGTTATTTCCGTATAATTTCTCCTTAATCCGAGACACTTGTGACAGCCGATGAGCGGGATCTCACACGACCGGGCTCATTGGAAAACTGCGCGAATTCTATGAAGCGTCGTCGAAGAGCTGACCGCGCTGCTGTGGGATTTCGGTCGCAACAGAATAAATGTGTGAGGTCCATCCCTAGATTCCTAGGGCAAGGTGTATTCTCGCGTTAGTTTTCTAGCAAGAGAGTGTTGCAGAGATTCGCAGAAAAATCGAGGCTGACGAAGTTTCCACAGCCAACACAGCCCTGCCTAACCTTCTCCTCCGCACAAAAACGGCAGCGCGAACCTTGGATCGCCAGCATGTTGTACTCGAGTCGGAGCAACGAGCGCAGAATGCGGGGAAGTCACCCTAGTTTCCTCTGCGAGAGTAACTTCCGCCGAAGGTTCCCGAGCAGCACGACGCGTTCCGGAGCGTGTCGAGTACTGAGTGAGAGCAATATCCATTATTATCCGCCACCATCTTCTCGATCGATGACCAAGCAGGTGATTCGGGCCCATGGTGGTGTGTCTTGCTCCAGGCAGACAAGCAGAATTTCTTATATTCCACATCGAGAGCGACCTGCGACCTATGGTAGGGATCAGCACCCCATGCAGAGAAGTTCGAGGAAACGCATGATAAGAATTAAGACGAGTTAAAAGTTTGATCCACGGATTTTCTATATTTATAGGCTCATGTACAACCAGAAACTATTGTATCGTTGTCATCGATCTTCCATCCGTCACCAGCCTCTGTGAAAACCTTTTTCTCTCTCTTTTGGTGAAATACTCTCTGTTCATTAAATATCTCATATCTCGTCTCTTCCCTCTCCTCCGAAAAACTCCTCTAAAAGTGGAATACACGGTGATTGAAGCCGACCCGCAGAAAGTCCGCGAATTAGTGCACTCTCCCTGTTCGGATTCAGCGTTCGTAAACACTCCAATCTCTTCGCTTACTCGTGTAATCTTCCCCGTGTACCTATCTATATGTGTGTTCCGGTGATTTTTTGGGTGATCACGTGGGTTCGTGAGTTAGCCGGGCGACGTGTCAGCAATCGGGACGTTGCTCCGTTGACGTCCTCACACGGGCTCGGTTCTCAAAGAAAAATCGGTTGTTGTAATGCGTCGGAGACGAGCGAATCGAGGAAATCCTCGAGAATGTCTGCGACGAGCGGTCGAATCGTCTCGCACTCCTTCCTCGGCTTGTGTCGGGAAACGTGACATGAGGATGCTCTAACTTGGAAGGCTAACCGTTCTATGTGTCGATTGACGACGCTTAAAGCTAATATTGACACCAACGACCGGAGTATGCTCGGCTTCCGGGGCGACCGCGGGTGGGGAAGACCCCGCTACGTCAAAAATCGTCAGAGGCGCGGAACTTCACTCCTTCCTTGTTCCTTGGATGGCCCGGATGAGAGCTGAGGGACGAGGGTAAGGATGTGTGAAGAAATATCACGAAGCCTTTCAGGGGACCAGAACGTACCTTTTGCCGCCCAGCGCGAGCATGATAGGTTTTGTGCATAATATTCGGATTTTTTTATTTCAACCAAAAACGAGACCCCTGACTCTTTGATCGATAGTTCCTCACGAACGGACCAAAACACTTTGATTACAGCCACTAGCTCCGGTCGTCAGGCCGCGGGAAATTTCGTTCCCGAAAACAGGATGCAGACCGATGGAAATAGCTCAGATTGCGAATGGCTCGCCGTGAACATCAGCTCGAATTCCCTGTGTGAAAATGTCTTCTACTCTCCCAGACCCAACCCCTGTGGACATCTGACCTTCGCGTTCCTTTATGGGTCTTCCTATGTAGCTTGCACGCTCTTCTCCGTTCGATCGCTCATTTGGATTATCTCTCCTCCTCTGTATTGAGTTTTTCCCCTCCAACTCTTCTCTAGCGTCTCGCTCGTGCTCAACTTCACACCCCGTCTCCGCCTGGCCAACCTCAACCATCCGGGTCGGCAACACAACCTGCTGTGCGTAAAACACGAAGTTTCTCTCATAATCGTTCTTGTTTCGCTCCCATTTAGAATCGATCTCCCATGTGCCACGGATCGGTGTCGTGTGCTCCCGTGTATTCTTACTTAATGGAGTCTTCGCCATTTAAGGCGTTATTCATCTTGCTTGGTATCACTGTTCCCTACTCCTCACACATCACAGCGGTTCTAAAAATTAGTCCATATAATCTGTACTTCGATCGTTCCCGCAAGGAATCTTGAGAGGGGGACATCGCGACGAAGAGTTGACATTCGAGAAGCGATTCGATCTCGGTGGATCGCGCGGCAATCGCCTTGTTCCCCTCCTCTGTAATATCAGAGCACCGGGTGGGATTCGCTCACATGTTCTCAACATTTGGAACGGTATCCGGGATCGTTCGACTGATCGATGCTCGCAGGCGGTATAATCCGAATTTCGACGGAGTCGAGATTTATGTTAAGATGTTCTTTCCCCTGCTTCTGTGAAGAGTCAACGGAGTCCGCGGAGAGGACGCTACGCCGTTGAACGTTGCAGCATTTGGTGAGAATGTTATTGACTGGACGAATGGGAACACACTTGTCCGGATACGGTAGATTGAAAGGGAGGAGAAGATGACAGAAGAGCTTGAACTCCTTCTCTGACGAAGTCTTTAACTTCAACGGCACTCCCAAATTTTGACTTTTTCGTCGACACTTCCCGTGACACAGTACGGTGCCGTAGGATGGAAATCCATGGTAGTGCAGAAGTGATCATGAGCGTCCAACGTCTTGCAGCAACGACCTGAGGAAGGCGCGATAATGTATAGAGTATTCCGGTTATCCCAATACTCTTAAAGAAGCATAGGTTGGGTATCATTATGTGGGCCACGAGTCACCCCGTGGATCTTCGGAAATAAGCGTGACTGCAGAAAACACTTACGAGATTTAAGATCCCAAACTTTTACAGTTTTGTCATCGGATGCACTGAGGAGGTACTTTCCACCTGGGTGGAATTTGAGATCCCGCACCCAGTTATCGTGCCCTGTTAGGGTGAGCAGACACTGACCGGTAGAGGCGTCCCAAATTTTTATAGATTTGTCCCGACTCCCAGACGCGAGGAACGGTCCCTGCCGTTTCTTGTCAGAAGCGTTCTGGAATACCGACCAATCATGTTCAATCAGATCGAGATTCGGTGGCTATTTTCGGACACTCGAGATGAAAGTCTGCGTATATGGCTTACGTCTGGAGCGGCAGCTTGATTTATGGCCTCGGCGGCAGATTCCGGAGCCCAAGCTATGCATTCGACCGTGTTCTCGTGTTCACGCATCTCTTGGCGGCATTCCTTGGCTTCGAGGGCCCAGATCCGGATCGAATGATCCTGAGAGCACGACGCCAGCAGTAAGCCGTCGCTGTGGCACGAGATCCGACGAACCCATTCCCGATGACCTGTGGGATCACGTATCAATTTTTTCAATGGAAATGAGGGAAAGGGAATATTGTCTATATTAATTCGCCCCTTCGATGCTTCGTCCTATGTAACCCCCTGCGGCCAGGCACTACGTGTTCGCCGGAGACTCACCGGTAAGTGTTTTTACACAATAACCGCTTGCCACCTCCCATACTTTAATTGTTTTATCCCTAGAACAGGACACTAGATGGTCCCCCGAAGGCAAGAAGGCCACGGAGCTGACGTTGTGGTCATGACCGCGCATTGTACGAACGCATTCGTAGCTCTCGAAGTCCCACAGCTTTATCGTCATATCCGCTGAGCACGACGCCAACAGCTGTGATTTCGCAGGAATAACGAATAGGTTAGCAAAGAGTAATCCACATCGGCATTTTGCAGAGTTGGCTATATGCGCGACGACATCATTGTCCAAGCAGATCAAAAGATCCGAACAATACCTTCCCGCCATTAGGATCTAGGGCTAAATCCTGGACGACGTCGGTGTGACCCTTGAGCGTTTTCTCAAAGTCTCCGCTCTCGTAATCCCACAGCTTGATTGTAGCGTCTTCCGAAGTTGACACCACCATAGAATAAGTTGGATGGAAGATGACGGATGTGATTGGTCCTCGATGTCCCGACAAACAATACCTGGGGACGGACGGACACGAAAGTCATCTTCCGGCTTTCATAAAGGATTTTGGAACAGAACCAGGTCCGTCAGCCGAGAGTACAGTCATCGTCAGCTAATGGCTCACCTTTCGGGTGGTCGGGGAATCCATTCTGACGGCAACCGTTTGTCCCGCGTTGGGGCTCCACTGATGTATTCTTTTTCTTGGGCGGCGATTTTCGATTCTAATTCGAACACCTGTCAGGGAGCAGAAGTTTCATTCAGATCTTACGACAGACAGGTGTCAGTCATATCTCGGCGATATGACAGTGGATGGAGAGGGGGAGCGAGCAAGTGTCTCATTGACTGAGTTTTCCAGCAGCATCGCGACGGAAGTATGTGGGCTGTCGGTGACGATCGTGATGATGCATGAAGAGACTATGTAGAACTAATGAACGGAGACAACTACAAGCCCATCGAGATCACGAGAGATTCAGACCGCGAGTTCTTCATCGTGAGACGACTCAACAACGTGGAGAAATCGTTCCGTGAGCCCCAGCTTGTCGGCTCCCGAACCCTGCCCTTCATCTCTTGAGATCAGAAAGCTTCTAGTGAAACCATCATGATAAATTTCATCAAATCTAGATCACCACCCTTTGTCTTCCTGCTCTGATGGAAAAATAAGATATCTCGCCCGTCACTCATCTCAATCCTTTCTCCAAGGTGCAAGCTTGGAGTCCCCTCCCCCATTTCTTACCGAGACGCCTCTGTGGCCACACCGTCAATCTCTCGCTATCTCGAAATTCGATCATATGATTTTTCTCACCTTTTTCTGCATTCGCACGACCGAGGTCCATTTCTTTTCTAGAAGACCCGCTGCGGTTTTATCCTGCTCTTGAGTAAGATTCGCTTCTCTTTTGAAAGACTCGAGCGCCGACATGAAGCCCTGACTGCTGAGGTAGTCAGCAATTGCCTTGTGCCTGGAAGAGGAATCCATCGTTCAGTATCGAGAGACTCCGTAGGTACATACGTTGGTACTTCCACCCGGTGAGCGGCGTGAATTATCCCAAACTTTTGGTCTCCGGAAATATTCGACGGGAATTCGTTGACCACGAATGTCGGCCGTCAAAGATCGAGTTCATAATCCTTCCGACGAATGCCGTCCCGAAGACGAATAGTCGGCCAGTCAAGCAAACCGGCACGCAGACAAGTATGGCATGATGTCAGTCTTCCGATGAGTCATCACGCTTCCACTCGGGCCTTCACAGACAACTTCTGAAGTTCCTTCGGCCAGAAGCGCTGGACGACTGACTTCGCCCGCGAACACGGAGGTAGTGGCTCGAATAAGAGCCGCTTAACACGGAAAAAGTCCGCATCGGGTTTCTTATCTGTTTTCAAGTTAACATCCGTCGCCCACAAGAGTGGTCGAAAAACTCGCTTCACGAAGCTCGTAATAGTCAAGCTCTCATCCTCCCACGGAACAATTGGTAAATCATTCTTCACTGACCTCGCGGCCGGAGCTGATCGTTCTGATACCGACTCGCGGAATTATCTGTACCGCAGATATTTTCATTACGGTGTTACAAGCGCGTTCCGTGTTCCTGAATGGGCTGACGCGTGACTCATGCGTACGCCAGGTACCTACGTCCACCCTTTGATCCGTGGTGCGTTACGAAACCGACGATGATTCTTCAACACTGAGAAGGGTCCCATCCACAGTCACGGTGGCGCCGAATGTCAACGGACGAGAGCTCAAACACCACCTGCCATCGATACGCCACGGTAGAGAAAACGAACCGCCGACCGAGGCCTGCGGTTCTCTGTGAACACGATTGTTTTCATAGCATCCACCAAGAGGACGGGAGGCGACTTACTCCGAGACAGCAGAAGTAAAGTCCATCCTCGAACGCGGGTCCCCAGGGAGGGGATCGCAATGCGAGCGACGAGTGCCAGTGATCATGGAATCATCGAGGACAGATGCCCCATGAACGATGACAGCAAAAGGTCCGGGAATCGCCCGCTCTCGACCTACCGAGTTGGGTGATAACCGTCTCGGATTAGCGGTCGCATCCTTACCAAGTCTCGAAATTCTAATGAAGGGTCGAGATGACGTTTGCTCATGCATTGCATTCGCCAGGTTTCGTGGAAATAGTTTCGAGCTCGAGTCTCCGACGGCGAGTCCTCATCCCACAGCGGACGTTTATTATGACAAGTGAGCCACCGGCTCCCGGCCTTCCCCATTAAGGGCTGCTCCTCTGTTAAGGGGAGGCAACATATTGACAGTCGTCGGGATCGGATTCGCTCTCTGGAGATCGTCGAGAGTGGGCTTGGCTCGGAATTCGCGGCCCGGGAGTGTTCGAGTCGGAATCCGGAAAATGCTCTCGTGGAACTAATGGATTGCTCCCTTCTCCTTAAAGAAGGATAGGCGTTTTCAGCGACGGAAAAGCGCTGAACGAGCGGCAATAACAAGCCCCCAATCGTCGAGAACAGAGCGAAATCTTTTATACAACACTGACCGCTCACCGCAGCAAGTGCTGTCAACTTCATGTCGAGAGAGAGAGAACAAAAAAAATGGCAATCGCGGTTCAGGAAACCGCTTTCAAGAAACTTACAGTTCCTCACGGGACTTCGGTGAGAGGACCATTTTCATGCCGACTTGGCAGCAAATCTTCGTGGAACAGTTCCTCTATGTTTATTGCTGAACACAGCCACCCACTTCTGCTACACTTCTCACCACTCACAGTTCAACTAGCGACCACAAAATCGCCGCCGCTATTGCTGTAAAGACAACAGGCCAAGAATGGCCGAGATCGAGTGCCGAAACACCTGAACCTCAGTCGGCCGTGCCTGTGTCTGCCAGAGGGATTCGATTCGGCACCGCGGGCAGACAGAACGAACAGCTCGGGTCTCGACAAACTACACGTCTCGATCGAACGACGACTACGACTACGACAACTGGTTGTTGGAGGAGGACACCGCCGCACCAACAGCCACCACTACCACCAGCAGCAGCAACCGCAACACCACGGCAGTTCTCATACAAGAAACAGGGGCGATGCCTAATGGTCGTCTGCTCGCTCGTTCGATGCCGTCGCTCAGTGAGGAAACTTTGGACTTGAGCAACGCGAGCTCGACTTCCCTACTTGTACGCTCAGAGCCGTGTCTTAGAGTTATGTTCCTGGACGAGGGAAGGGAGGACCGCTGGGGAACGGGACATAATCATCCCAATTGCCAGACGGAGTGAACTTGGGTTGCAGACCGACTACTCGACCCATAACAGTGAGGTAGATGATGTCGATGATCTTTGTCGTGGAGAGGCGAAAGATTCTCGGTTCCCATCGCAGTCGGAACTCGCGTCGCGCTTATGATGGATTACAGTGCGGCACAGCGCGACCCGCGCGCTGTGCCGCGCCCCTGTGCACCACTTGATAAAAATTCACCAAGAAGGAACAATTTATAAGAACAGACTACATAGGTCAAAGAATCCCTCACAAATGACAACGATAAAAAAAAGCGTCGGAACAGGGACCTAGTCTTCATATGACCTATTCTAAACGATTAAATACGTATAGCTTTTTTACGCTATACCAGATGAAGCCATTGCTAGTGCAAGCCTACCCTGAGATCGAATTCTCGCCAAGCGAAGCGATGAAAAGGAGGTTTCTTCTGTCCCCCTTGTGCATCTAGAAAATAGAACCTTCCTTCACGCATCCTAATTGCTTCCTCGAGCGTATCGTGAACATCACGTTGTTCCGGTAACAATTTCGGGAGAATTGTTTCCACGAATAAGGCTAAATCCTGAGCATTGTAGTTCCTTCCGCGGTCAATATCAGGATCAGAAATTCTATTCCCTGATCTATCAGTTGCGAACAATCCGAGTTGATTCAATCGTCGGTTCATAATGGATATGCACAGCGCGACCCGCGCGCTGTGCCGCGCCCCTGTTCACCACTTGATAAAAATTCACCAAGAAAGAACAATTTAACATTTTTTTGATAACAACCACATAGTCATCTGTCGGCATGAGCTCAAGAGAAGATCTGAACACTCGTACTAATTCGTTGTGCCGACGCAGCATGTCCTGTAAATCTGCAACAATCTCACGGATTGTTCCACTGTTGAAACGACGCCTCTGATCGATTTGCTCGTTTGTGTCGTCCATGAAATAAATCTGAAGGAATTGGTGATCAGCCCCCGGTAGCGGCAAAGAGACCCAGCGCGATGATATACCTGACCTTGCACTTGGAAGGTGGGCATATAATTGTCTCGGATGATTTCCGTCGCTCCGGATGATGTCATTTGGAAACATGAGTTATACTTTCGAATGTTTTTCAAAAAATGTCTTGACTGATTCGTGCTCCCAGATATTAATGTCGCTAAGGGCTCAGGCGGCGGACACAATTCAGGCAACTTGACTTTTCCTCCCGCACAGCACATGCCTGGGGTCTCTTTAGCAAATTTGAGTGCTCGGCAGAAATAACATACCTGATCCATTCTTCCTATATTCACACCACGATGCTTGCTGTAATCTATACCAGGGTCATACTCAAAAGCCGCAAGGTTCAAATCATTATGTATGCTACGCCTGACCTGAACATGCCGGGCTCTATCAGCCAACAATCTTTCCACCCGTTCGTCCTCCGTTTCCTCGGAATGGATTTGGAGAGTATGAGATTGGACCCCATCCAAGCGCGCAGGTCTTCGCTCATTCGTTTCATTAACTCGTGTCCTCGAATGCCGCAAACGGTCTACTTCCAGTTTCGCATTTCGACGATCCTCATCCTCTGTCAAACGCGCTCGCGAGTGCCATATTTTGTCAAGCTGCAGCCAGGCCGACAACACCGTCGAAAGCCCCTCGACGCTTCGGAGAGAACACGAAAGAAACTGTTAGAGTCTCAGCTTAGACATCGGATATCCCGACTGAGCTGGACTCATCACAAACCTTAAGAGCACCTACGGCACCGACAGCTAATGTCTTCCCAAAGGAGCGAGATCAGAGATTATTCCGGAGTCCGATTCCGATCGAATTCATGGAATGTCATCAAAAAATAACGATGTTAAACGAAAGAGCGCGAAACGAAAAATAACGAAGCTCCCCCAAGAGGCAATTTGAAACACGAAATGACTGAATGACGGAAAAAGGGTCCGTTCTTCTCGGATCTGATAGGCTTAAAACCTTCCCAGGTACTACGTGCCTCGTCACGACAAATTCCAAGACTAAGCTACCTTTAGTTTCCAAGAATAGGCGACCATGACAGAAAAGTGGACATTCAATTTTATATATATAGATTACGACAGCTCACCGTAGCTCTGTAGATTCTCTGAAATAAGGTCGGCCTTCCCGGGCTATCCGGAGGGAATCGGGGGTACTCACTCCGGGCCTTTCAGTAGTGTCGCCGGGAGATTTTCTCGGGAGTGAATCATCAGGTTATGAGATCCATCCCGATCATCTTCGAGGCGCGACGATTGAGGAAACTCATGCGTAGGCCCAGGGGGGCCGAGCAAATATTTGGCGAATATTCTCGAATTCCAACAGGGACGCAAGGCTATGCTCATGGGGCAGAAGTCCGTGCCTAGCGCGTTCCCGATGCGTCTGAGGGGTGTATCATCAATCATCACAGGGAAGTTTCCTGAATTCTAGGTCCTTTCCCCATTGACCGCCACGCTCCGATTTTTCGAAGCGTGTATTCGCTATAGGCTGCGTGAGCGTACGGTGATAGTTCCCGAACTCAGAGTTTCTAGCCTCAAGAGACAGCCAGTCGCAGAGTTCGTTATTTCTATGTCCCGCGAATCTGTGATGAAACCTTAGGCAGATTGAGATCTTTGAGACCCTCAGCGACATGGTCCCCATGAACCGGGACGGATTTCCTTTCTGCTCGGCCTCCGGACCAGTTTATCTGAAGAAACTCCTACGGCTCAGGAGCAAGCTGACAAGTCTCATTCCCCGTCTGATGCTCGGGCTGCTTCATTCGGAGCTCGACTGACACCTGTAACACGACAAAATGAACAGATTCAGAACTAATTTAGAGCTCTCGACTCCTCATATCCGCAGAAGAATCTCGGAAACAACACCCAGTGACAGATTCGTGAAGATCTCCAATCGGCGCCTCATTCACTGGACGGAGCTCGATTGGGACCTTCAATCCATACCCACTCAACTGTGAAGATGACTGCTCGAATAGCCTCACTAGACAGCATTCGGGACGCACTCACCGATGTTCTACTGGACTGACTCTAGTCCTCGCTCAGATTGAGACCTCTCCCATACTTCCTCGCGCAACGCTCTGCAGATCCATTGATCGGAATCGTTTTCATCTCGTAGAGGCTGGGGAGAAATGTGCAACTCTCGGCGCTCCCGGGACTTCGCTATCTCGACTGGTTCAAGTTCTAAAGGCTCCCGGAACCGATCGCTATTCCTCGCTGCATTCCGTAACAGAAGGAGCTCCGCATTGATTCAGAGACCATCCCGAGTCGAGGAGGTGATTGCGGGACCGTGGTGCAAAGCCTACTCCAGGATTAAGGATCGGCGATCGACACACCATAGTAAGTGTCTGGATAAATTATGCCTCAACTTAATCCAACACGAAGCGCACAATTCATTTTTCGATGTCTACACTATCGGATAGGAGCTCCTGTCAGAACATTCACAGAACGAATGCCTCTCAGACCGGACTTTCGCACAGATTGCTCATTTGTACTCGAAGCGGGACCGTCATCAAGATAAATTTGCCGACCGGTATCCGGTACCACAGACGCATATTCATATCGTCTTGGATTACCACGCAGCTTGGTATGCGGATGGACTTTGTGTGTATCCGATGGGGGATCGCTGATAGTAATAAATGGTCGGCTCTGCGGATCGAAATATTCCACTCGAAAGGGTATCTTAAAGCATGAGGACGCCCAAGATTCCCTCGGCCCAGCGAGGGCGTTCCCCTATCCGGAGCGCGATGACGCTCTCATATCGTACACGTCGCTTGATGTAATGTCCGAGGAGTCCAGGGAGCTCTCCCGGAAAGGGACAGGAGACCTATATCTTCGCGAGCGGATTCCATCCCCGGGGAACCGCATGAGAGGTTGCTCCACGAGCCCCGGGATACCAAAGTTTCTCAAAGTGTGCCGAGAACGAATGAGACTGTCCGGGGAAACTTAGAGCCGGTCAGCATCCGGAATGTCAAGGATGTGCGAGTCGGGCTTCTGATTCGTCGGCTCTAGTGGTGGATGTGTCCCCTCCTTGGGAAATCTTACTGATTCGAGAGTCACTGGCTGTGAAAAAAAGGTATTATTCCTTCCGCCTCCCGAGTCCAAACGCAAGAACTTAAAATCCGCAGGTCCTTGTCTTATGAATCGAGGAAGGTAACCATGGGACAAGGGGAAGGGGAGCGTTCATCAGTCGGTCTCAAATATTGATCAAGCTCACTCAGACTTTGAGTTTCGCGCGCCATCCTCCGCTTGAGAAAGCTGAACACCGGCGGCGCGATCCCACACAGAGACATACGCCAAACATTGACTACACGTGAGAGCAGCGGTAGGCTGCCTCCTGCCGGGTTTCATCAACAAAAATGCGCTTTCGAACGGGCGCGAAATTCAGTGCTCAAGTCTGGGACTCGGGTCGGATTGTTATATATGAGAATGCTTCGGCTGCTGTTAAAAGCGAGTACGTTCCGGAAAGTCATCTTCAGTGCACGGCAACTTGTGTCCGATGGGAGGTAGGTCGGGAACGCTGCTGATCTATCTAGGAAACGACGGCCGTCTAAGAAAGTCAGGGTCTTTTTTTACGGGGACCTTGATCCGCCTCCTCGTCGACTAGCACTCCGGATACCTTCCGCGAGTCCGTCGCACCTTCATGAACACGGGACAGTCTCTCCGTCAGTTGAAAAAAGATGTTCCGCATGTGTGTGTCAGGTGTTCTCTGACATGAGCCGATCCTGAAGGTCCTAATAATCCATAACTTCGCTATAACAGGGCGACAACTTGCTCGTCATCGGAGGACAAGACGGTACTGTGATCATATTCGATGCTCTAGAGGCTAAGGTCAAAACATTTCTGAAAAAGGTGAGCATGATGAGAATAGGTCCGGCAAGCGAATTGAGGCGAATTATCAGAGAGACATGGCTAACTTTAGAAATTCAAAGACGCATGCCGGTGCCGTCGAGGATGTCGTCGTCCTGGAGGAACGAGTTCTCTCCTGTGGTCAGGACGGAGCCATTCATGAGTATCATCTCACCGAGCAGAGTAAGTTAAGATTCTGAAATTAGAGGTAGCTCGGAAATCCGCGGAGCGATAAGGGCGAACGTTTGCGCGACAAGCTCAGCGGATCCATTTGTGAATTTCAGCTCGTCTACGGTGGGAAGAGAGTGAGCAAGCACATCCTCTGTATTCATTGTGCTTGTTTCGGGGGAATACGAGAGTTTTGGCTGCTTCCATCTCCCAGTTGAGGATTTTCCATGCACAGAGCCGCCAGCTGCTCAAATCGGTCGTCACACAACACGTGTCCCCTGTAAAGTGAGTTGGAAGAAACGGCATAAGCATCCCGTGACCCCTCCTCTGGAAAGAGTACCGGAAGAAGTCGAATAATGTTCCTAAGCCCAACGAGACTGATGAACTCGAATGTCTGTCTATCTCCAGGTTCCTGCTGGCCGCGGATGACGGCAAACTGCTGAGCGGTGCGGATCGCCATGTGGTGGTTTGGAGCAAGAAACTCTGCTGCGAAGATACTCTGGTTGGTGTGCTTCCATTCCAAGACAGACAGATTTGGGCGTCGTATCCTCATGAGCTATGATTCATCATACACTGTGAAGGCTGGGATACTCCAGGGAAGGACACTAACAATTAAGGCCTTGATCACAGGTTCTGAGTTCATCGAGTATAGCTTCAGTGCATAGTCTGGGCTCACGGATCGCGGCAGTATCCCAAACTGGCGAATGCATTCTGCACGATCGTGACACCTCGAAAAAGACAACGATACAATTCGCGAGCCCCGAGGCCGGTAAGGACGTAGGAATTATCATGATTTCCGATCGTTTGGAAGTGACGTCATGCCGATTCGACTCAGTGTGCTAAATCGTTTTTTCCGCGCGTGTGTCAGAGGTACTGGAAATCCATGAAGCCCGTCTCATTGAGAAGGGCGTCATCGTCGTATATGGGCCACCTAGCCGGCCCCGCATTGAAACGCTTCCGATACCCTCTCGAAATCAAATCTTCATTCGAACGATAAAGAAAGCCGCATTCGCCACGCCTCAAAATGGGGTTCCTGTCACGCAGGTGAGCAACGGTCAAATTTTCCCGAGCCCCTTCCGACCTTGGAGTCGTTCGGGGGCGGCTGCGAGTCGCAAATGGCCCCTGAAGCTTTCATAGGGAGTAAGCACATGCTCACCGGAGCGGGCTCAAGATTAGTACGGAACTTGATCCCCAAGTCTTACGTGTCTTCCAGTACAAATCGACAAACGCCAAAGTTATCGGACCGCTCAACGAACGCGTGGACAAAACAGCGCGGAAAGCTCCACGTTTCGAGGAGAAAGATGAAGTCTCGCTGGAGGAGAGGTGGGTCCAAGCAAGGGCTCACGGCTCTTCGGGAGCTCTCTTCGGAATCCTGAGATAATGATGCGAATTCAGTCCTCTTCCTCCATGATTTCAGGCTACTGGAGTGCCATTCAGATTCGGGAAAGGGCGAAGAGCTCGAAGACCAACCCGTTGTGAACCCCCGGACGGATAACATGGTGCATCTCTTGTTGCAAGGGTTGCAATCAGGGGATAAATCCATGTTGAACGCTGTGATCTTCAGGAACGATCCGGAGGTCATCGACAACACTGTCCGAAGATTACCATTGGATGCGATACAGATCTTTGTTAAAGAAATTCAGGACAGGTGAGGAGTCTATCACTTGAGTTCCCGAGGCTAACCGTCAAGTGATGAGATCTTCAACTAGTAAGAGGTTGATCGAATGGTCCATGGAGGGCACTGCTCGACCGATTCGAAGCACTTTTGAGATTCCCGTAATACGACACACGTACTCAATTGTCCCTTCCTTGCAGACTACACTGTCGGCCTCGATTTGTTGCTCCGATCCTGAGATGGACGAAATCGCTCTTGGTTCACCACACGTCATACTTGGAATCGTGTCCGAACATGTTGCAACCTCTAGAATATATCCTCAAGAGCCGACTCATCAATGCGGACCGAGTATCGGAGGTGAAATCTCGGCTCGACACCCTCTTAGCTTCAAACAGGTCAGTGGTACCGGTACGACACTCGGTTGATTTCCGATGAGCTCTCCTCGAATGAAGCAGAAAATCTGAAAGCGTCATTGTCATTCCCCAGATCTCCCGAGCAATCGTTGCCGAAGGCGGACGTGTGCATAATTGAGGAAGACTCGGACTCTCACTCGGTAGAAGGGGACGACGCAGCGCAATCAGGTGGAGAATCTTCCGACCACGATGGTGAGGACGAGGATGAGGGCAATTTCGATGAGCTCGATGAGAGCAACGAGGACGACGACGATCACGAAGTTCAGTCAATGAAAATCGGTTAGTTGTCGCAGCAATCGTTGACAGAGAGTCTTTGTCTGCTAATCTGTGAATGCCACCGATTAATAAAGACGGGGCGTCGACTGGATTGGGGAGAATTCCTTGCGCGGGAGAGGAACGTGGAGAAATAGCAGGTATCCGTTCGGTTCTGTTTCCAACTAGATCACTGGTTTTATTCCCATACACAATTCAAACTACATCCTTCGCCTGATGGTCGACGGGTCAGCCGAAGCTGCTCATGGAGGAGCTATATCTCGTCGGCGTTCAACGTCGATTTCCGAACTACGACTCCGACTCCTGGTCATGACTCCTGGTCCAACAGAAATCCTCTAATCCACAAGGAGCTCAACGAGGGACTTCAATCTTTGTCCTCGATGAGTCGGTGCCGATTGATCTGGATGGGAACCACCCCCGGTCGGCTCTTATTCGCTGTGGGTGGGGTCAGCATCGGGGCTTTCAGCACAAGGTGTCCATGAGACGTGTAGTGCGCTGAGAGTTTGCTCACATCAGCTGATGCGGGCAAGGTGAACATCGACTGCACCTAGAGCGCGGAGGATCAAAAATTAATCATGTTCAGCAAAACCGACCACGTGGTTTGTTCTCGGTAACTAATTGGTACGGTATCTCTATGGTGTTTGAATCGTACCATTTGCGTGGAGCTGCTGCTGCCATCGCTTGACTTATCCTCCTGTTGGCCTCGGAGGGAAACGTGGTGGCCATCAACATCGATGGTGATGTTCTCGGGTCTGATATTCAGGAACTGCCGCAGATCGCATTCGACCATGTTCGTCCGTACATTTTCGATGCACTGAGTTCCAAAACCTTCTTGACCGGCGGAGTTCGCGAGGTCGAACAAACGGCGCAAGCTGTCGACCCAGTAGAGCTCGGGTCTTTCGGTGACCGGTTCCGGTGTAGTTGGCGCGCCGCAGGACTCGCAGACCGAGGACGGGAAGATTCCAGTGAAGAAACGTCCCAGCATTCCTTCCTGCGCCTTTGTTACTGGAATGCATGAAGAAACATGTGAACGCCTCGACGCAGAATACAAATGAATTCGTTCATCCTCCCTCGCGTCGTGACGCGAAAAATAATCGCTCCCTCACGCAATGATGACTTGACGCCTGCATGTGAGCGGGGTCAATCATTGATCGCGTACAGTTGGCTATTCAGAGTTTTCATAAGAATCGATCAGAAAATCAATGAATCGCATCCGTCGAATCCATATCCAGGCAGAGGGATTCGACTTCGAGATCTTCGACCTCGCAAAGAGAGCACGCTTCTTCTCGCTCAAGTCTGAATGAATAAAGCCGAACCAAGTTTCCAAGTCCGCTGACGAAAATCGACCGAATATCGAGCGAGAGCCTGAACGACAGCGGGAGTCGTGATACTGGAGACATCTTATCTCGTCTGCCCGCCTGATTCGCTTGCTCGGCGTAGTCACTCCGAACTGAGTAACTCAGAAGAGGACCGGTCGTGAAACGAACTACCTTAGAGTGCTCCTACTCTAGAGCTGGAGGAAGTCACACCAAACCAAGTTTCGCTGCCGAATCGCAAGAACAAGGAGCCCAATGTCAATTGACGAACCTTCTCCGAGTTTCCGTTGGACCTCTACTCAATGTCTTCTACTCCTAGTGTAGAACTCTGGCGCACGAGAGACTGGAAATCGCCCCAACTTTCGCGCAATTTCTCGAACAATCCCGTTCTATGCGCTGACTGACACGATTCCGCTAAATCGGCGGACGAATTTCCCATGGTGCGCGATTTCTCGGGAGACGGAAACAAAATCTCCGACCGGAAAACTACCTCGGATGATGGTGGACTCCAGCTCTAGCCTGGAAGCACACTAACCCGCCGACTATGGATCAACACGTGTTGTGGGTGGCTCGTTTTCTCTTCGGACGACGCACCCTGTCGGGTGACAACCCGCCAAGGGACTGGTTTCCATTCTGTCAACGTATCCACAGCAGACATCGTCGCCGGCGGCTCGTCTATATTGCTGCAGCACAAACTCGTGCATTGAAAAGCGACTAGTGACTTTATCTCAGAGCGATCTCTCCACGAGATTCTTTTTTGTTCTGGTGACACGTTTGATTGGACAGGCTTCGATTCCGGTCCAGTACAATTCTCGAGCAGGATAAAGAGCTTCCATCGTTCTGGTCTTGTCTGTCTTTCGTCGACGGACAGTCATCGAGCTCGCTTACGGACTGAACACCGTTCCGGGAAGTGTTGAAGTTCTCCTGAGCATCGCAGAAGGATCTCATCCAGTATGTCGGTGATCGGATTCGATTTCGGTAACGAGAACTGCTTCATCGCGGTCGCTCGCGCCGGGGGGATCGAGACGATCGCTAACGAGTATTCGCAGAGAGTTACCCCGTAAGTACATTTCGAGATCCCCGCTGGGAGCTGGGGCTCAGTATCCGATTCCTCGCGAATGGATCACGCATCATGCATCGGGAGTCGGCCGTTCGAAGCTTGTCGCCCTCGCATTTCCTCCTGACGACTGCCGGAAGCCAATCTAGACCTGGGCTACCAATGTGCAGTTAAGTGCCCGGAAAGCTCGACGTTTGAACGTCAGCCCCAGAAGACAAAACTTTTTCGATTCCACCAGGAGGGACCTCATCACGATGAACTCGCAGTAGGTCCCTCGATATCCATAGCGGGGGAGGAGCTTTGGCGAGCATCTTTCGACCGAGGCCCGGTGCACTTCCGAGATGATGTCACCGCTCCATTTCAAATATCCGATTCCATGCGGGTCTGACATGATCTGTTCCGTTGTGATCCGGCGATCTCATTCCTCGTAGCTTTCGGTTTCGATGCGGTATATTTGTTCTTCTTAGTGCTTTTCTGAGGCGGCAACGATGCAAAGGCAATTTCTAGGCGCTGCCGATGCGTGGGCGGGTTTCAGCGTGCGAGTCGAGCCATTGACCCAAGGGGTTCTTTTTTCGACCGCGCGATAGTATATTTTGTCAGGCTACCGGGATTCTGTGATAGCCATTGAGACCCCGAGGAGGACTATGGCTAACGACCGACGATGTCGGATACCGACAGCCTGAGGTAGCTAACTATAAACGCCCATTTTATTGTCAGGTCCTACGTCGGCTTCGGAGATAAGCAAAGAGATCTAGGTGTTTCCGCCAAAAATAAGCAGAACACCAACATCAAATCGACAATTTATGGATTCAAACGCTACATCGGGAGGAAAGTCAGCGATCCTGTAATGGAAAATGAGAAGTCTGTCTTGCCTTATGAAATTGTGGAATCGCGCGATGGCGAGGTAAGTTCCGATCGATCTCTGGACAATTCTAGGTCACATCAATCACTTCGGAATCGGCTAAGTTTTCTTCTCTAATAACGATCACGACCGTGCCGTTTCTAGGTCGGTGTATGCGTCAAGTACCGAAAGCAAGACAAGAAATTCTGCAGTCGCCAGATAACGGCTATGCTGCTCACGAAATTAAAGCAAATCGCTGAAGCTGATCTTCATATCAAGGTACCGTACCAATGTCATGTCGTGAGAGTCAGAGATAATCTCTTCTCATTCTAGAAAGTTCGAGAATAATTCCTCGCAGAGCGTGCCTCGTAACGAAGACATATCCGACGTATAATTTGCAGGTGGTCGATTGCGTGATCTCTGTTCCATTCTTCTTCAACGACGCAGAAAGGAGAGCTCTGCTCGATTCGGCTAAAATCGCGGGTCTCAACTGTTTGAAGCTGATGAACGAAACTACGGCCGTTGCGCTCAGCTACGGATTCTACAAGCACGACCTCTCCGAGGAGAAACCACGGATCGTTGCATTCGTCGACCTAGGCCACAGCGCCCTCCAAGTTTCCGTGGTGGCTTTCACCAAGGAACGGTTGAAGATGCTCGCTTGCGAAAGCGACGTGGTCGGCGGACGGGATTTCGACCGGGTCCTCGTTGAATACTTCTGCGACGATTTCCAAGCGCGCTACAAGCTCGATGTCCGATCTAACAAGCGAGCAATGATTCGATTGTATTCTGAATGCGAGAAGCTCAAGAAGCAGATGTCTTCAATTGCTCTCGAACTTCCGATTAACATCGAATGCTTCATGGAGGACAAGGACGTCTCTGGGAAAATGAAGAGGGATCAATTCGAGTCGTTGGCGAGCGGGATCCTCCAGCGCATCGAGGACACGATCCAGCGAGCCATTGCTAAATGCAGATTGGAAGACGATCGAATCCTCACTTTGGAAGACGTGGAATCCGTCGAGATCGTGGGAGGAAGTTCCCGGGTCCCAGCGGTGAAGGCCATCATCAGGAAGATTTTCGGCAAAGAGCCTTCGACCACTCTTAACGCTGACGAGGCTGTTTCCCGGGGATGTGCGCTCCAGTGCGCGATGTTGTCGCCCAACTTCAAAGTGAAGAACTTCTCCATTACGGATCTTCAGCCGTATCCGATTGCGGTGAGGGTCCTGCCCAAGCTCGACCCGAGTGAAGGATCCGAGTACGACATCTTCCCGCAGTATCATCAAGTTCCGTATTCCAGGATTATCTCTGTTTTTCGACGAGAACCTTTCATAGTCGAGGCATTCTACCGTCAAGAAGTTCCTTTCGAAGATAAGCAGATCGCGAAGTTCCACGTCAAGGTCGAGCCCCGGAATCCAGAAGCCTCTCCGGAAGACAAGGTCAAGGTTAAAATCAGGGTCAACCTGAACGGAGTCTTCACGGTAGTTTCTGCGACCCTTTTCGAGAAAGGCGATGAGTCCCCAGAGCCCATGGAGGAGGTCAAGGACGCCCCGATGAACGAGGGAGACTCGGCAGCCGTCAATGGCGCTTCGGATGCTGCTCCAGCTCCAGCCGAGCCCGAAAAGAAAAAAGCTCCGAGCGCGAAGCAGACCGAGTGCAAAATCGAGAGCGTGACCATCGACGCCGATCTCGAGGGCCAAGGCTACGTGATGAAATACCTCGAAGAGGAGAAAGACATGATCGTTGCTGATCGTACCGAGCAGGAACGTCTCGATGCCAAGAACGCCGTTGAGGAATACGTTTACGAAATGAGGGACAAACTCGCCGATGCCCTTCAGGACTACGCGTCCGATTCGGATAAATCCGAGCTTTCTCAACATCTGACCAGCACCGAGGATTGGCTCTATGGGGACGGGGAGGATCTCGCAACTAGCGAGTACGTCAAGCGTCTCGAGAGTCTCCACGCTCTCGGTCAACCAATCGTTGAAAGATATCGCGAGTTTCAGGAGCGACCCCGAGCGCTCGAGGAGATGGGAGCCGCTCTTCAGAAAGCGCGCAAGGCTCTCGACAGCTTCGCCGCCGGAGAGGAGCAGTACGCTCATATAGCGAAGGAGGATATGGACCGCTTGGCACAGCAGCTCGACACGAAACAAGCCTTCTTCGATGAGACCATCGGCAAACTGAATGCTCTCCCGAAGCACTTACCGCCTCCGGTAATGATTCACCAGATCCGAGAAGCTACGGAAACGTTTGAGAGAGTCGCGAATCAAATCCTCTCGAAACCGAAACCGCAGCCGCCGCCACCAAGTCCTCCGAAGGAAGAAGCCAAAGAAGAACCCATGGAAGAGGCGCCTAAGGAAGACGTTCCAGAGGAACCGATGGAAACAGCTTAAATATTGTTTGCATCACCACCTCATGAAGTTTCGACATTTTCACCGAGCGACTTCACAGTGCGCTAACTAGAACTCTCCGTTCCTGCCAAGCGACTTTCAAAAGTACCCAATCACGACATTCTGAGTTTCGTCGATCCGGGTGTCGACGAGTTCCCCTCTCCCCTCTGGGGGAATTCGTTATCCGAATGAGAACGCTACTCTACATAAGACTCCCGGAAGACCGATTAAATACTGTTGTTTCAACTCGATTTTGTACGAACTGATTGAAGCATTCCAGATTCGCGAGGTCAATTGATGATTTTACCCGATTCGTATGATTAGCTGGATTTCTCCCACACCGCGTATCAGTCAGACAGCAGTCATGAATACCTGCCCATCGTAGAGATGAATCGCGAACTCGTGTTGCGCGGCTCGAACAGGTCGATATCATCTGGCTGCGAAAGGCTTGCGAGGTAGACAGAGGGTCCAGAGATTCAGTCATGTAATCAAAGGTGGAATGGGATACAAATCAGTTCATCCAAAATACATTGTAGGTGTAAAGTAATCAGCGGTGACCGAAGAGAACAAACATGGCTTGTACATGAATGATTCGATCTAGGTAGGGAGACTCGTTGACGGTCGACCGACTCCGAATACGAGTTGAGAAGGCCTCGGTTGTGGCGATCAAACGTAACTTGGTCGTCGTCTCCCGTGAATAGCGGAGGAATAGGTTTCCCGTTGGGGGAATGGGGAAGGGAGGAGACATTTCGTCGTATGTCGTGCCGTCAGCTGAAACAACTCGAGTAACTATTTTTGTTTCTTATCATGCGTACACGGACTGGTCCGGAGTCCGGTAACAGTTCATGCATTGCCTTCGTTTCGATTCCGATGAGGCTGCGGGAAACACCGGGGATTCTCCCCCGTCGACAAGGTATTCGAGAATTGGATCATTCCCGGAGCAGGAGGTTGGATGTCCCGCGAAAACTTCATCATGTCAATGGTTGAATCGATTCGAAGTGCCAACAATAAGTCGGTCATCACTGGCACTGACGGGAGAAAAAAAGCACGATTGATTTGTTGTCTTCTTTATGAGCACCGAGAGGAGTGACATTCTCTGACTGCTGAAGGTGATATTAATTTAAATAAATTTATCAAAACGTCAGAGGTGTTTTCTCGATGAGCTTCTCCCACGAATTTCGGGAATGATTCCGTGATCGACGATCGACGGAATGGGAGGGGGACGACGTTCCGTTCACATTTCCTCGAGAGATGAAGGGAAACCAATCCTGGTCGAAACATTCTTCCCCGCATGAATTTCCTTCGCGTCCCCGAACAGAGAACGACTCGGCGGGCCAACATCATGGAGCTAGGCCGATGTGCCTTGGAATCTAGCATTGGATCCTCCCATTGTGGACCGGCGGGAAATATTGAGATGCAGCGCCTCACGGAAGTTTTCGATAGTCATGACTCTGTTGATCGGGTTCCTTCTCGCCTTTCGGCTTCTCCATTCCTTTCATGCGCTCAATTCGATCAGGGGCGATGCGAAATTACCTAGTCTTTGCTTAGCAGGTGACCAAGGTATCTTCCTGAGTTCTCGTTGGAGAAACGACGATTACGGTTGCATATAACTGACGTGTTCAAACCAGTTCTGTCAATTTTGAAAAAACTTTTTGTTCCTCTGGGAAATATCCAACCTTCCCTACCTCAGTGTGTCGACCATGGCTCCAGCTCTCAGACGAGAAAGGAGTATCTTGTGGGACTCTGCGCCCTCTGAGCGGTCCACAATGAGCGGTGTCAGATGTGTTGAGCGAGCTCTAAGCTTGTCCTGGATAACCGCTCAGGCTGCTCGGAATGGACTCATGCGGGGCGGTCTTGTTCCAATCCCTCATCTGCGCAAGCCAAAGACTCCAACATCACGAACCTCTTCAGACGGGTCTTATCAGCAGCTGAAGACTCGCCTTACATCAATATAAGGGGAGCTCACGGACTGCAATCGGGACCGTCGAGCCGGATAGCCCGTATTCCATGGTTTTCCGAAAATACTCCACGACTTCGGGGGGAGGAAGTTTTACCCCGCGCTCTGCCTGTCCGGAATACTTCGTATGCTCTTTACCGTCTCTACTCAATCACTTTCGGATTTGATCGAGGGATGGATTCGAAGAAAAGTCAGGTACGCGAAGCTTTGTACAACTCTCATCCTGTTGAAAAAATGCGGGTCCTGAACCTTGTCCTGCGCCGTTTCAAGAGAGACTCATCCGCCGCTGAAAGTTCTGCTGATTAAGTCTTGGGCGTCGCCCTTCTTGACAAGAAATGGACCTCAGCCGATTTCCCTGTTCCAGGACCCAAAAAAACGAGCATGTCCGCAGAAGCCTCGATTATGGGGTTCCCAGTTCCCAGAAGCCATTTTGGCGAAAATGCTTCAACCTATGCATACTTCGCCTCCGTCTCCCGAGATGTCAACTGAAGACTCTACTGACCTTTCCTACACTGCTTCCATTGCCCCACCATCTAGCATATGGGTGTTGGTATTGTTGCTGATGTTTGCGTTGTTGGTGGTATCGTTGTTGTAGTTGTTCTTTGTGGCGTTGGTCTTGCTGTTGTTGCTGGTGTTGTTCTCGCTGGTATTCTTGTTGTTGGTAGTGTTGTTGTTGATGATGGTGTTGATGCTGTTGCTGGTGTGGGTTTTGTTGCTGGTGTTGGTATCGTTGCTGGTATTGGTATTGTCACTGCTGGTGTTGCTCTTGCGGGTATTCTCGTTGTTGGTAGTGATGTTGTTGTTGGTATTGTTGTTGCTAGTGTTGATGTTTTTGCCGGTATCGTTGCTGGTGTTGGTATTGTGGTGGGTGGCGTTGTTTCGCGAGCCGCAAGCACAGCTCTACTTGCGCCGACGCGAGCTGCTCTCGCGGGAAGACTTTTGTACTATCCAAAGCTATCCTAGGAGGAAGGACACAGTGACAGTGAACACTGACCGATACTGTCAGTTGCTAGAGAATTTCATCCAAGCAGAGCTCAGAGGACGTGGACGACTCGCAAGTCGGTTTCCTTGCAGCAATACGGCAACCTGGGCGAAGCGGAAACGAGTCTTTGTGGGGGATCTGGGTCCGCATCCGCAATTTCTGACGCAAAATAAGTTCCAGGGGGCGGTACTGGCCAGATCAGAACACTCCGCCTTCCTTGCAACGAAATCTAATCCTTTTATGCGCGTCGAACATTGGCGGGCAGATGGGTACAGTAAGCTGCAGATCTGCTTTAGATATTCCCCGCAGATTCACGACCGATTCCCGAATCTCCAACCTTTTTCGGACGCTTCCGCTCGGCATTCGCACGCAGCCCCGAAACAGACCGAAAGACTCCTAAATATTGGTTTCGCTCGGTTCTGTGCTTGGAGACGATTCGCTCTTCGGAGGAAGACTGTGATATCTATCGGCGAATGAGCTCATCATAGCGACACTCCACCCGAAATCGTGAAGATAAGCGACGAAAGAATTTCGGAATTCTGTCTCTCTCAATAATTGGTCTGCCGTCTCCTTTGATAGGGCGCAACATCACGCGTTCGTGATGCACGATGAAGCCTCGGTCAAAGATTGTTTCGATGTGTTCGACGGAGAACTCCGCCATTGCGCTCGCTAGACACTAGGATCGCAACCGCTGTAATAATCGAATTACACTCCCCTTACCGATTCCCGATTCCCAGCGGCCGATTCCGCGGAACATTAAAAGGACCCGCGAAGTCACTTTTTCGGAAGGTTTTGCGGCGATAATTGGTTGCAGATCGCCTATCTTCTGTGAGGGAGCTTTGCACCGTTGACAGACCGCGCAGTCCTTAACGTACCGCCGCACTCGACGATGCAGCTCTCTACCATAATCGAAGCGCCCCCGAACCCGACATTCAGTCCCACGGATTTCCGGATGCCCTGCCGTAGCAGCCTCATGGCATAGCTTGATGATCTCTTCACTTAGTCACCCGGGAATAAACAGTCAGCCGCGTCGGTATAGCAAAGCATTCGCGTGGTGTTCGATAGATTCCCCGAACTTGTTCTGAAATCCGCTGGAAACGCTGATTGTTGTTTAGTTACTGTCGGAGATGCTCGAGCTGAATTGGCGCAATGGTCAGATGGGACAGCGCATCCGCGTTCCGATCATCCTTTCCTCTTCGGTATACCACTCCGAAATCGTAATCCTGGATGCCCAAGGCCAATCTGATGAGCTTAGGAGACAGCTTGGCTTTGCTCCTGAGGTATGTACATACTCCAGAGACATATGGTTTATGGTTTATTCGGATCTGATTTGTGTATATAGCTTGATCAACCTCTCACTTCAGGCGCGAGTTTCTCAGCGGATCCTTTTCTTCTTTCGCGTTCCCATGCTTCTAGGAGACGCTTCGTTTCGTTCACCAATGCTGGATTCAGCTCTCTGCTTAGGCCGAGGCGAGCGGCAAGGTCCTCATTGGTGTCATACTGTCTGTGACCACTTTGGAACGACGTCCATACGCATCAGCATGGAATTTCTGAATGGCGACACTCGCGAAATTATCGATGAATCGACGCTAATTTGATGCCAGTCCCAAGGAACTTCTCAGGTCTTTGAAGTTGGAGGGGGCACGTAGATAAGTTTTAGCTGCAATCTTTTCCGAGTCGGGTGCGATTCCATGCGACGTGACCCTGTGCCCAAGACAAGTCTCTTCGGTCCCGGCGGACATTCATTCTTTTGCTCTTAGCTTGAGCCCTTCTTTTGAATCGACGCGAGAACTTGTCCAATATCAGCAAGACAATTGTCGAAGTTTTTCAAACGGATAATTATACTATCCAGGTAAACCAATGCCATCTTGTACTTCAGGCACCGCTAACCCTGTACCTTAGGCGTTGAAAGGTTCCCGGATCTTCATGAACATGCCACTCCGCGTAGGAGGAAGAGGGTAACAACTCCTTCGGGAGAGCCGGAAGGCGAGGTCGATGAGCTCGAGACGGTTTATGAACTGTACCGTATAGATGACCCAGGAACTGTTTCCTTTTATCAATCTCTAGGCTATGGGCCGATCGAAAGCTGGGTGTATGGGTACGATGCCGAATAATGACAGCTCAACATTCCCGACAGGAGGTAGCTCGCTATAGTTTCTGGAAACACGCGGCGAGTCCCACTCTTCCCGGAGCGGCGGCTTGCATCGAACAATATTTTTATGGAGACAAACGGCGTCGTCGTTCACCGAGCGTAGAGAAACTTTTCGGGAGGGCTGCCGTGTCTTTCGGAATTTCCATGCGATCGGCCCTGTAGTTGGTAGGCTTGACAGGATTCCCGTCGTGGAAAATGTAATATCTATATGCGGTACTTTTCCGTAACAGCAGCTCCGCAGCATTAGAGAGGCGAAAATCATTTCAAGGTCCGCTTCATCCTCACACAGGATGTGTGTCGCGCTGACTCATCCATGCCATCTTTGAACTGGCGAGCGTCATCGTCGGCGGAAACTCCGATCGACGTTCCCATCGCTTCAGAATCGACGAGCGAAGGACAGAAAATACCTTGAGGATACATCGGATACATCGGGGGGCTGCCGCGCATACCGGGGGACTCAAAGGCACGATTTCGGCCTTCCGATCGGTTGCAGACATGAATTCCATAATATGGTGAATGAGAACCCATACTTCCCTCAGATACATCGGTCATCATTCTTTATTGTGCGATTTCCTTCGTCTCAGGGGCGGTGCATCGCAGGAATTCCCCCCTCTACGGAGGGTCGAGGGACCCTGCAGACAGTGCCAACGATCGCTACGCTTCAGTGTGTTCTTGATTTCTCAATGTGGATAGATTTCACACCTCTTCGAGGATGGCACCAACTCCCACCCCCCCCTCTCCCCTTCCTCCGAAGATTTCCGATCCCTCAAGAAGTGGACGACTCCTTCAAAAACACCGACATAGTTCCGTGGCACGTTTGTCTTCCTTATGTACATTTAAGCTTGTAAGTATAACTCCTGACAAGCACCGCCCGCTCGACGAAAGCCCTCTACAACATCTAAATTTGCTTTCTCAAATATTCGTACGATGATATTACGCTTTTCGCCCAAACATTAGTTCAACAACACACAGTGCCGCTCCGGGTTGTGCATTGTCCCGCGATGAATTTACGGCTGATATGGTGAGGGACACATGGTGATATGTATTATGTGACATATTTTTCGCAGGAGAGACATCATTCGCCTTCGGGCTTAGGGAGGGGTCTAGGAACTGGGGTTCTGGGATGGTGGTGGTTCAGAGTGAAGGTTTCAGAGCAGGGCTTCATGGCGCTTCCCTGCGCTAAGAAGGCTCCACGCTTTCACGGTGTCATACTCCGACTGAAACTTCATATCCTCGAGGATGTGATTCGACTCTAAGGAGCCGCGAGGGTAGATTCTTCCGCTGATGGGAGTCCTTGCGGGTGGCGGGAGAGCGTAGAGAACTATCGGTTTCGAGGGAGGTAGGCGAAAGGAAAGGTATGATCAGTGCAAGGGAATTGACGGAGGGGTGACCGCTTCCTCATTGAGTAATGCTAGACGTAAATACATGTGCTTATAATATTATTAATATCCAACTTTTCGAAGCTTGCTAATATTGCACTATACACGGGATTGATTGATAAAATCGTTCATAACCCGATCATGGTTTGGTTTCTACAATGTTTAGCTTCCGAGGAAGAGTTGAAACGGCTCATGCACTCGATTTGTTGATGTCCTGGTCTATGTTGATGAAATACGATGATGCCAGTACAAGCTCTCCCTCGCGAAGCTCTCCGTCGTCGGCGGTCGAAGCTTCGTCATCTGTTATTCTGTTGATCCTACATAGATGGCACCTCGCATGCGATTGTTGGACTTCATCGAAAACTATGCGTCTTAACTCTATCTTTAATCTGGAATCCCTTTCGACGGGGAGCTTTCATTCCAAATTCGCTCACTGCTGGGAGGGTTCCCCGAGGACGCCCGGGACCTGGGATCGGATGAGTTCCTCGTACGCGGGAGGTCGAGGCATTTCATCATTATTATTAATATCATAACTATCATCGTCATCGTTGCCTCCATCAGCATTCAATTGACTGCTATGCTCATACTCTGATTGGATGCTGCTGACGGCGCAGTCGATTCTCGATTGAGATCTGCGGGGCCTGAATACGAGTGTCGGTTCCGTGATTTACCGAACGGCGGCTCTGTGTTGCTGCCGGTGCTATCTCCCCCTTCAATGAGCTTGAAAGCATCGAGACCGGGAAGACTCTTGGTCCGGAGCAACGGAGCCTGTGGGACGGAAGAGTCTCCGACTCGCTTGGCGACTTGCAATGAAGATGTGGTCGATGAGGATGATGCTTGATGCACAGCTTCGTCTTGCTCTTGCTCTTCCAACTTGTGAGACATATCACAGCGGACGCGGAAAAACGCCGCGCTCGAACAGAGCACCTCCTTGAATCCTTTGGATGACGCCGACGTGCTCATGGCGCACGACGAGCGCATGGACGATGTCAAACTGCTGCGTGAGGATGTCATCGACGACATGAAGCCCGAGTCGTGACTCGATTCGAACTCGGTCGTGTTCGAGCTTTTCCACGAGTCGCTGAATCCCGCGGCATCGAATCGGGACTTGGTGCTCGACGTCATGCTGCTGCTGCTGCTTCCCAGAGCCACGCGGAGAACGGGCGGCTCTTCGTCGAAATCGTGGAGAAGGTGCTGCTCCGATGGACTCAGAGGGCTTTCTAGAGGGATCGACGTGGTTCTCGAGGATCTTTCCGTAGAACAGCTCTCCCTGGATCCGGTCGTGAGGCCCTCCTCGAACGTCATCGAGCGGTAGGCGCTGTCGTGACGCGAAACTTTCGAGTGTACTTTGTGGCCACCGGGCGCCGCGGTGCGCAATACGACCGCGTCCTCAGCGTCCGACATCGATTCGTCGTCCAGATGGTCGACCTGTTCAGAGATTTGAGACCCGTAGCCGCTTGTTCCGCAGGTCGATACGGAGTCGGAGCGCAACAGGTGGCGTCTCAGCGAAGCTCCGCTCAGCGTTTTGCAGAGCTTCAAGGGATTCTCTTTCCGTTTCGCCAACGATGACGATGAAGAACTCGACGCAAAATCGCCGATGTCCGAGGTCCGATCCGTGGCAGAACCCTCTGCTTCGGGCGGTGGCAAGTTCTCGTCTTCGTGCGAGCCCAACCAGTCCAGATTGCAGCTCAGGGACCGAGCGACGTCGAAAGGACGCGTGGGTTCGGGCACTGACAAGTTCTCCTGGCTACCGCCGAAGTTCAGTCTGGCGATGCCCGTGGTCGGTGAGATCGCTGCAAACGAAAGCCGAGCGTTAGTCTCGATCGATTAAGCACGTCAGAGCGGTCGCAGTATTATAGAAGACGGCGTCAAGCGTAGTACATATTCGGGACTCGGGCGTGAGGGAAGATCGAGGACTCTTACCTCCGCTTGCCGGACTGTTGCCGTCCGGAGGCGAGGCTTTAACGGTTTCCATCGGGCGTTTGAGACTGAGCGTGAGCTGCCTCGGCAAGATCGGTAATCTCGAAAGCCGTTGTTTCTTTTGACTGACAAGTGGCGCCTCTCGTTCTCTGCCGCTTTCGTTCGAACTGCAGTAGGGTAACGAGGGCAGCGCAGGTGCTGAGGAGCAGATGTCGGGTGCGGCTTCTAGAACTTTCTCACACCGCAACTGCCTTTCGTACTCAAGGAGCTGGCCGAGGAAGTTGAAGTTCGGAGATATGGTCGGTCGTTTGGACTTCACATACCTGCAAAGGAGGAATTCTTTGAGGACGAATACTTCGCTGAGGGAATCCTTGACGGTCCCCGGTCGCAAGTTCGTAGCCGGAGTGATGATACGAAGGCAACGGTCGACGTTATCCATTCGAGGACCGACGAGATCAGTTTCTCACCTATAGGCGTCGTCAGAGGACATTCTGAGATGCTTCATGACGTAAGCTATCGCAATCGTCGGAGAGCGCGAGATTCCGGCCAAGCAATGAACCAGAACGCATCCGCTCGATTCACGAACGCGGTCCAGGAAATGGAATGCTTTACCGAAATGTGGCATGAGCTTTTCGCTGTAGTTGTCATTGACCGCGATACGCATAAACTGAGTTTCAGAAATGAAGTCCGCCTTCGGGCATGTCGCCGAGACGTTCAGAACGTAGGTGATGTTGTGATCCCAGAGTACTTGGCGGTTATGTGCATCGGTCTGGGAGCCCAGGTATAGGAACGGCAGGATCCGGGTCGGACCCACGTTCGTTATGGGCATACAAGGTTGAGACAGCGCGGAAGCGAGAGGCGCGCACGGTCTCTGCTTGTCCTCGCACTGATGCGGATAGGAGCTCTGGAATTCACTGAAACCGCCTGCAAGGAACCAGGAAAATACGGCTCATCAAATCGTTCGACGAAAACCGGGCCTAGGGGCAATGACGGAGGAGAAATTCTACCCCAGGAGCTCATCGACACGGCTCTTCTTTCCCGTCGCGCGAACGTCGCCAAACTCAGTTTACTGGACAAGCATCGGTGAATGAGTCATTCTACCGCCGGCCGCCGTGCGTCGGTCGCCTCTGGCCGTAGCTGCGGCGGCCCGTGGAGAGTCAGGGTAATCTACCAGAAGAGTTCTATCCAAGCGCGGCGGACTTGTCCGGAGAGAAGCTCGACGAGAAGGACGGACACACGAGAGATACATCGACGACAGAAACGGAGCGACCAACGAGAGCGCGAGGGACCAGTTACTCCGATATTCTAGAGAGAGCGAGCACGTCTGGGCTTACCGTTGAGGAAGGAGACGCGCTCGAAAACGAACGATAGCCTATCGAGCAGGACAGCGGTGAATGAATCGGTGGCGACCTGTTGGAGACTCTTGGTGTTGCCGTCGTACACTACGGCCCAACAGTAGGAATCCGGATCACAATTACTGACTAGAAGATCTCGCACAGACACGCGATCCTGCTCGAGACGCCGCTTCATGATTTTCGAGTTGGCCACGTTCACGGATCGCGTGATGTGACTCGTGTTGTAATCGATGAAGATCCTGCAACGACGGAAGGACGAGAACATGTCAGATCGGAAGGCCTTTTCAATTTCCCACCGCAGATATCATTCTTTTTCCCCGGACTTATGATACAATATGATCAGATGTCGATTTCCGTAAGAGTCTCGAGTGACGAAAAATTCCGCAGAGCTGCGCCGGAAGGGCATTCCCATGGCGGATGAGACCTGAATCACACGAAACCTCCCTCCGTCGGTACCGACGGATTCGAGACCATCCATTGCGCGAAACGAATAATTATGCTCTACTTGAAAATATCTAGCTTCCGGGGGTCCAGCTCTCGGACCGAAAAAAAAACTCTCCTGTCGGAAGCATCAGAAATTCCGAGGTAGGCGAGAACGGAAAGAAGGAAATTTCAGCCGATCTCTACGGATTATGTCATTCTCGCAGGTGGGATTCGAGTCCATGACGAACAAAATTCGATTTTTGCCCTTGCCCCTATACGTCGATGGATTCCATTATTCCATGGCATCCGCGGCTGTAGCTGGAGTGGCTTCAGCGGTGACGCCATCTTAGATTTGTCGAATACGGCGTGCGGTGAGGTCACTTATCGTCATGCGAAGCTTTTCCAAAGCCGAGTGGCAGCCGTAACGGAGCGAATCGATGAACGCCGATTCCCGATCTTTGGTCGCTTCCACCGGGAGTCGTTATAACGCCCCGATCGCTCTATTATTTTCTTTTTGGTTTTGGGAGCCAGATCCGAATAATTCGAAAACTCACCTAGAATCTATGAGAAGCACGTCATCTCGTTTGCTGAGAAGTGCAAACAGCTCGTGAACATCCATGGCCGAAACCACACCGGGTCGTCCGATGGCAACTTCGTCCATGTTGATGCGGGGCTGTCTTTTGAGATGGGGCCGGCTCAGACTCAGCGTGAACAAGGAGGAGTTGGACACTGCGGTCCGGCGAGATTGTCGCAGTCTTCGCACGCGACAGACGCACTCCGCTGTATGAGGAGGCTGTTCCGCATCTTCCGTCCAGTCCACCTGCAAGCAAAGCATTGAGCTTCTATCATTTACGTCTGATCCGAGAATAGTAGATTCATTGAGGGTCCCTTTCGGCTTTTCGGTGGCCCCTTGAAACGCTGTATATTCTGTGACGGATGCCTTGTCTCTCCATAGGTATTTGGAATTCAATCCCCTCGACCGTATGGGTTGCCCCGTCGCGAGCGATTCCCGTTTCTTTTTTTATTCATCAGTATTAAAATTATCTCTCCTCCAGCTCCCGCTTTTCGTTTGAGATTTCATTGAGTATTCTTGACCTCAGCGAAGCCGGCTGAGGAAAGGATTTCGTAAGAACGAGGAAAATATTCAAGCCGAACCGAGGTCGCCGATTTATTTCCAGCGGCAGCGGCGAAAAGTGCCTCCCTTACTGACTGACTGACTGACCGACTGACGAACTGACTGAATGGATGCCTGCCTGCCTTCCTTTCTGTCCGCCAGGAGATGACTCAGCCACAGATGTTTTGCGAAATTGCTTAGCGCAAGACAAAAAGATCCTCCGCATGATTATTCTGCTGATGCGCGGTACCGATAATGAAATGCGCGGTGGATCGATGATGATGCTAGGCTAGGTATCCGAAAAAAATTATATGCATAGAAATATGCTCTCGAAAATCGTGAGGCTCGACGAAAATCGTCAGCACAATTCGCGGAGAGGGAGCGGACGGATTGTTTGACGATTCCAAAATGGACGGCTATTCCGGAGAGGAGACTGGATAGCTCTTCGGATCGATCGATCGACCAACCGACCGTTCGTCAGCGAAGACTTCTAGGGTTGAGAAATGGTTGCTCAGGAAAGCTTTTCCAGAGCGCGACCGACTTCCACAGCCCGTCGCTCATCCCCTGATTCGCCGCTCGGTGGGATTTGCGCCGTTGGTCGAGCCGCTCGCGACTCGGCTCTCATGGACGTATCTAGTTCTGAGACGAGAACTCCTCCGAGAATTCAAAAGATACTTCTGCTCGTACGTTTCTGACGTCGAACGTCGCGTTAACGCCTGCGTTGTACAGCTCCGCTGGTTGGAATGACTCACACTCGCTTGTTCGCTCGCTCGCTCGCGAAGTGCACTGACTAATACAGCGGCAGCTCCGATCGCTCCATACCGGAGACTAGCCAAGGAGCCGTCACGCAGAATTCACATCCCCTGGGGACGAGCCGCGCGTTTCGATCTGACAGAAGCTCATTGGCCTCACCTCAAGCGCATGCAAAAATGTCCACGAAAATACGAATGCATCCACGAAAAAAAATTCCAGCACTCCTCAGCCATTGTCGCCGGTGTCACGATCGAATCGATGCCGAATGCCGATAAACATGAACTCGAGAGGTGGTTCCTTTCCATTGACGACCCGAGTCGACAGACGCCTTACGTTAAAGAATGATAAAAAAATCGTGAAATTGAATTCGAGCTCGGCTGGGTTCCCGCAGTCCCGCACCGTCTGCCCGAACCTTGTCAAGTTCACTGATTCCTCGAATTACATGTCAGGAATCAGGTCGGGCGATGTCACCCGCTCCCTGATTCGCCCCCGCGACTGATTGGGAGCTCCAGAAACTTGTTTTACCTCCATCTGCTCGGTATCGATTCGGGAAGAGAGTTTCGAAAGCCGAATTTCAGGACCGCGAATATCTTTGAACTCTGGACACAGGGGTCGCGGTACTGCGATCCCTGAACAACACTCGAGTCACTTCACAGAATACTCCCGGATAAACTCCATCAGAGCACAATTTCTGACGATTCCGTCGGATGAACGCAAAATTCAAGAATAATTAGTCAACTGAATGCACTCTTTAGCAGCATTGGCGAGCGCCACAACACATTGTCTCCGTTGTAGCAAGTAGACGCTGGAAGGATCACAAGTCGCCCAGAACGAGCGTGAATCATTCCTGACGTCAGCCGTCATCGTCTCTCCGTCGCTCCACTGCCGGGCAGGCGCTTCGAGAGACAGAGCCGATACAGAGTACGTATCACCGATCGAGTGAGCGAGCTGCGGCCGAATGAAAGGGAGAGAGAGCCGAAATTCTATAGCTGAAGCAGCAGGAAACGCATGACAATAATTAAACGAAGACTTTTATCGAGACCAAGGAGGTGCGTGGTAGCAACAACGTCACAGGGACTCGATCAAACTCAGATCGGTCTTTTTGTCTCAGCGCGATTTCGGTCCGCCAGGCTGACTCATTGATCGAGCTCGGGATTCCATCGATGGATAACTCCAACTTAATCCATAGTACCTACAGACCCGAGCTCATTCGGCATCATGTCTCTTCCACAATGAGCTCTCGTCTAGATCATGCTCAACATCATGTTGAAGAGACACGACGGTCATCGAGCAGCTCATGAATCATCTTCAGAGTGGAACCATCATTCTTGTCCAATAGCAAGTGACCACATGATTCGTTCAGTGTTCCCTTCCACTTGGGAAGTCAAGCGAAAGTGAACGATTGATCAGGAGACGTTGCGGGCTTTACGTATCATTGCGTTATATCTACGGTTGAGGGCATCGAACGACGGTGGTTAGCGGCGTATATCTAGCCGAGTGAGCGCGTAACGTAAATGCGTCGAACAGTCAGTCCGAGTCGGTCTGAATCCCGTCGTAGTATTTACAAGTCTAGAGAGTCTTCATACCTGACCACTGCGGAAACGTTTCATCGGTACAGGACAATCTGTGCATGAGTCGCAAGTCATCATGTCATTCAGCGAGACTGATGTCACGCATCAAGGAGATCGTAGACCGTCGGAGGGAGGGATGGGGACGGCAACCACGAAGTAGCCGTCACCGAAGCAAGATTCGGAGATGAACGCTTCTTGACAGGCGATTTGATCGATTTCCAGATCGGTCGAGCGACCCTCACGGCGAATTCTTCCAGAGTGATGTTGATGATGAAGACGACGGTGCGATATAAGAACCAGTTTCGCTCTCCGACCGCTGAACGGCTCGTGGCAGTGACAATTTGAGACTAGGAGATGATGAGCTTCGAGCCGTCGTCGTCGCCCGGTTCAAGGATCACGAATCGAGTCACAATTGGGAGCACACTCGGATTGGCGATGATTAGTTCACGTTAGTCACGTCCAAGTCTCTGGGAACGGGCGAGAGATTCACTGGCAGTGTTTTGTGCGCTGTACTTTGACTCGGTACTCGAGAAGAACACCGTTCTCTCTCTGTCAGTACACTGCCTCTTATCTATGAATCTAAGGAGCACCAGCTCGACCGGCGGGCTAGATAGGTCTGATCCAAATGTTGCTGGTGGTGGCGGACACAGTCGGTCGGCATGTTCAGTGCGCGGGCCGCTGGTGACTCATGTGGTGGCGAGGAGGAAGCTGGTCCCTCTCGCGCGCTACCGCGACGACGACAACAACGCCAACATCGTCGACAGCAGCAGCAAGGAAGGCTCCCTTCAATATCGCTGACTAAGAGTGAATCACTCGGAGATCATCCTTGCGGGCGAGCAGGCTGGCTGACCCAGCCAGCCTGCTAGCGAGCGGGCGCGAACGATTGAACCTATGTTGTACATTACCTGGCGACCGACTGGTTGCTTGGCCGGTCACATTTCTTCTCGACTCTGCAGCCGACGGGAGGGTACCGCGGAAAAGTTCAGAGACCTGCGGCATCATCCCCACGGGAAGGAGAGATCTCTTCATGATGAGGGCCTTGGCCCTGAGCTGAGTTAGACTTCCTTTCTGGGCCGCTTCAGGCACCGCGATGACCTCTTCTTGGGGAATCTCCCGGAACGCCGGCGGCCGGATGCCAGCAGCGTTCCCGAGAGTCGGTTTGGCGAGATCACCGTTCAGATCGCATTCTTCCGCGGAGCTCCGGAGTTGCTCTCTGATGAGCGCGATTGGAGTCTTCGACGATGATCCGCCGCAAGCCGTCCCCGCCTCCCTTTCGCGAAGAGGCGCTTCTTGATTTGGAACTTTGAACCAACAGTGAAGTAACCGAGGATTCAGGAGTAGCCGGATGAGTCTCAGGGCTTCGCGGCAATCGCGTTTTATCCCACCCGGAAGATTTTCTTCCACAGAAAAGCGACAGGAATACCCGGTCGATGATAGCGCCTATGACACAGAGCTTTTGAATTCTGAAGAGCAACGTGCGTCCGAGCCGACTTCCATCGAGGGTCAACGTTTCTTCACAGTTCGTCAGCCGCTGCGGCAAGGTTATTGGTTCGCTCTCCTGCGCGACGAATTTCGGCAAGCACAGAGATCGTGTTCGCTCCTGATAAATCGGGTGATGACGACGTCTCGAGGATAGTCTCGAGGACCTGACCTTGGTACTCGGTCGGCTTTGAGCGGAATCAGCCGCGATGCTGGAGACCCTTTCGCGAAGAGCGGGCGGATTTCCTACCTGTGTTCCCGACTCTATCGGTGCTCTCGTTTTGGGGGTTTTGGCGGCATTGTTGCGGATTCCCTTATAGCGAACAAGACGACGGCGTGCACGGAATCGATAATGGTCGTTCGCGACCTCTTCCGGTGCACTTATTATAAATTAAGAATGACTTTGGTACGCGCTCGCCGTGGAAGAAGTATTTCACTGTAGTCAAGAAGTAGTAGTAGTCAGTGGCCCGGTGAATTATGTCATTGGGGGAAACTGGCGGTGTCGTGTCTCTGAACAAAATCGTTTCGATAGATCCTTGGGGAACGGGACGCCCCCCATTCGTATCTCAATGCGGAAATCCGTCTTTCCGATGAAATCCTAATCCCGAGAACGTTCTGATTGTCGTACTCCGATGATTGTCGAGATTTTGTCCCGTCCGATGTGGCCATCTTGGCTCATACCCTTTCTGTGTGCATGTCTCGAGAAAATCCCATGGATGGGATGATGAATCAAGAATTCTCAAACAGCAACTGTACAAGATCATCTGGAACACTCATCGATGACGTGTGTGAACCTCTCCGCGGTTTCCCACGAGATCACGAAATTTCAACGCCAAAACACAATCAGACCCTTAGGCTTCAAGCAGAGTGCTCCCGGTTCGAGAAAGTTCAGACTTGTTGGATTTAGGGCCATTCTCTGGGTATAGCTCCTCTTGACAGAATGAAGTTCTTCAATTGCGGACTCGGTTGTACTCAAATGACTGACCGAGAGCTAGGCCGGTTCTTTCATCAGAAAAGTCACGAAGGCCGAAACGTGCAACGTCAGTCCGATGGGGAAACCCTCCGAAGTCCCGCACGTCGATCGACGGCGAGACGTCATTGACTCGTCGAGACTTAATTGGAAGGGGAAAACTAGTTGATCCGGCGGCATCAGGGAAGCGCGCAAACAGAGCCAATCGGGGAACCCCTCCCTTGACATTCCCCGTGAGCCGCGTAAGTCGCGCTCTGACACGACAAGGAATGACTCGGAAAGTCCACGTGGGAACCGGGGCCGTCGCTAGCCTAGAATCTCTAAGCAGAATGAAAAATAGAACAGTGGATGCCCTAGATTGAGCTTAGCGAGACGCCTTGAAAAAAGCGAGATTTGATTCTATTCTTAACCAACTACCCCCCTGATTACGTCATTGCTCCGAGACGAACGAGTCATCCACCAACGCCAGCACCACCGATGACACAGCATCGGCAGCAGCAGCCGGAGCGTATATGATTCAGCTGAAGCTTAGTCATAGACATACACTCTCATACACTTCCCATCGTGCTCCCTGACTCCCCGCGACCCCTCCTCGGCCGGTCTTACCTGGCCTGATTTGTACATAGAAATTGATAGTCTGTGAGAGTGGGGTCGCCGAAGAAGACGAAGGAGGCCGGGAGGCAGACGGACGAACTGAGCGAGCGAGCGAACAAGCTCAAAGAACTAGGTAGGCTCTGGGCCGGAGCAAGCAAGCAAGCAGAGAGGGGAGTGAGTTGTCACCTCAAACTATTGCTTTGCTATCCAAGCTAAGCCAAACAGATAAATCTAATCTACACCTCTCCCGGCCGTCTCCCGAGCCAGCGGACTGGCTCGAGTTAAACGACTGTGACTTCCATTCGATGGAAAGCTCCGCGTATGGTCCCACGTCAGGTGCTGCCGTTCAATTGCACACTTCCTGGAGTAATCATGGATGACTGTTCCATAATAATTAAGCCGTGTAATTGAATGAGATTAGATCGATCGATTCCTCCGAAAACACGCTCCCGAATTCGAGATAATTCCATGGGGATAATGAAAGGTCATCTCGTCGTCGCATCGGTCCTAGAAATCGGCGCAAGCGAGAGATCCGAGAATGAGTACCCCGGATGAAAAGAATGCCGGAGGAAAATCGTCGCTCTAAGAAATATCACAGAGAGGTCGTCCCATAATAATCGAAACTCCTACCTTACTCCACCTACCAAGGTCAAGGTCGGTATGAGGTCACACCCGCTCCCGTAGATTTTGCTTGGGTGGCGTTGGTCGGAAGCTTTAACATCATCAACTCCGCCACCATGATGCGAATCATCGTCGTGGCGGTTCTATCCCAGCACTGGCTCCAGTGATCTGGTGATTTGGCTTAATTCTCAGAATCGTTGTTCTGTGACAATTCCAGCGTCCGGCGAAGAATTCCAGGTTCGATTAGTCACTGTTAGCTCATCTTTCCGTTTATCCCGAGCCGATCATAGAACAGTAAGGCATAACTCGAGGAAAAACTGAATTTCGTCGCCGAAACAGACGTGGCTCCTGATGGATCTGACTGAGTAATACTGATGCAATGTAAAGCCATTCGAAAATGGGGCGACGACGAGCGATGCCTAGAAAAGTGTGAGCTGACAGACTGTTTGCTCCGGGGAACAGCGGACCGTGAGTCAAGTACGTCGTCATTTTGTCCGCTGCCCGTTCTTGTTGTTTACGTTTACCACCTGTCCTGCACACTCGTCCCGGTCCCGCTAGGGAATCTGTATTCTTCGTGGTCAGAGACTTGGTCGCAGGACGGACCTAGCCTCAGTCCGAGCTGTGGTTCGCTCTCCTTCCAGCCAATCTTTTCTTCTGCCACGTGATACCGCATATCTTGCGCGTGATTGTGGTAAGTGGCTCTCTCATGAAGTGGCTACTTTCGTAAACTAGCTCTCCGCTTCGGCCACTAAGCTAGAGATTCCACGCATAGATCAATTCACCGCTGACGAGGAGTGACTGCACCGTCGATCAAGCCCCCGTCTCATCTTGACCGCCTTACATTCGTGCCAGGGTCGGAATATCTTCACAAATACTTTAACACATCTTCCTGTCCTCGGTTCCCAGGCTCCTCCTCCTGCTTCGGTCGCGTCCTCGGCCATCATCCATATTCGCCATCTGAGTTCCATCTGAGGAAATCAGCTGTTCCGTGGTCGGCGGAACAATCTTACCCTCGGGCGAGAACGAATCATAGCGTACCTACGCGACTTCTGTTTGTGAGTGACGCTCACTCCCAACAGAATCCGTAGTTCCATTGACTCCCCATTGGAGTTATTCGGCCGATATAATGCATCATCAAGGAGGCTTCATCGGAGGAATGAAAGCCCCTTCTCAGCAACGCGTTCGGACAGTCAGACCACAGACATTATTTCTTATGTCGAGGTGTTGTTCAACTTACATAAATCACTTGCGTAAGCCACGAGTCGTCTGAACATCATACGCGAAGCGTACTCATAACTCCCGACGATTCTCCTGCAGTCGTGTTTTCTGAGATGATGGATAATCTGCACCGAGACATGGATCCGATCTCCCAGACTGTCAGACGAGCGAGAAATCATCCGGAGAGTCATCGAAA